CGCTGAGCTCTTCCAAGGGCTTCGGTGACAGTGAACCAATGCTTGCAGTGACCTTTTCATCTGCTCTCAACCCTCTCAGCCCCTCTGGGGCTTTTCTCCACCGACTTCAAGCAGAGAATAGTGGAGGGCTGAGCCCCTGGCCCATGAAGAGCTGACCTTATGTGGGGGCCCTCCCTGAGCCTGGTCCTCAGAAGTACCCATGTCCCCTCTGGATGCCCCATCTCCTTCCTCACTGGGCAGCTGTATTATTGCACCAGGAGAATTCTGTCTAGGGATGGCTGGCCACTTTCTGAGGGATGCTCCTGGAGGCCTGCCTGCTAAGGGCTCACACTACTGGTAGCAGCGCTGTTTGAAACATGCCCTCCTAAGTTCTGGGGGAACGTCTAAGGCCCTCCCTCTTCTTCTGGTCTGCAAGGACACATGCCATCGTTTCTTCAAGGCCTCTATTGCTTGCTCCCTACAGGCAGTTCTTTCTCATACAGAGCAGGCCCCAGACACCCATTAGTGGTGGGACATGGGGGAGGGTCTCTGTGCACACAGGGCTCTGAGGGTTTCCTGCCCAGGCTGTAGGATGGGGCTTGGGATCCCTGGGCCCTGTCCTCATGGTTCTGCACCTCTGTCCTGCACCTCAGGCCTATGTGCTTCGTGAAGCAGCTTGAAGTCCCTCCGTATGGAAGCTACCGCCCTAGTGTGGCCCCTGCCACACCCAGGGCCAACCTGGCCAAGGAGCTGGAGAAGTTCTCCAAGGTCACCTTTGACTACGCAAGTTTTGACGCTCAGGTTTTTGGCAAACGCATGCTTGCCCCAAAGATTCAGACCAGCGAAACCTCACCTAAAGCCTTTAAATGTAAGTTGGGGAGATCTACTCCTGGGAGGTGTAGGGTTTGGGAGACGGGGGAGGAAGGACCCTCCTCGCCAGAAGCATGTAGGGAATCTCTCCCCCGGGGGTACCTGGCCATCCCAATGTCTACTATGGTGGCTTTCCCGGAGTCTGTATCTTGCCCATGTTACTGCCGCCATGTTCCCCATCAAGCGTGATGTATCTCTTCCCTATTTGTGAAACAAAACCTAGGTTCTTTGTGGTGTGCATGTCCAAAGGCTTAAGAATAGCTTCCCTGATGTGGTCCACCCTGTGGGGGCTCAGACAACCACTGTGCTGAGCCTGGGTACCCTGACAGAGAAGCTCTTTGCCTTCCTGCAAGTGGACCATCTTGCTGGATAGTGTGTTGTGATATTAGCCACAGGTTTTCTGGGTACTTGTACTAACAAAATGCATTCCAAGAACAACCCTTCCTGCCTGTTTTGGTCACTGAATATATACCAGTCTGTGGTTTGCAAGCCCATTAGCCCTGGAAACACATATGAAATGGAAAAGCACCCCAGTTTACCCGTGAGGTAGGAACTGGCCTCTCCCAGTGGGTGTTTGGCCCTCAAATACAGCAGTGAGGAATTTCTGTCATGTTAATAATGGAAACACTAAGTGATGACACTTGGAAGAGCTCAGTGTTGTAAATGCATGAGAGAGAGCACAGAGACACCAGCCCAGACAGCACAAGGGCCAGGGCAGGAAGACCAGCCAGGCGGGGAACGGCCCCCACACAGGTGTGGACAGGCTTCTGTGATGGTCAGCGCGGAGACAAGGGAAGGAGGAGAGGCTGGGAGGACAGCACAGGGGTCAGGGCAGGAAGACCAGCCAGGCAGGGAACGGCCCCCACACAGGTGTGGACAGGCTTCTGTGATGGTCAGTGCGGAGACAAGGGAAGGAGGAGGATGGTCAGCGCGGAGACAAGGGGAGGAGGAGGGTGGTCAGCGCGGAGACAAGGGGAGGAGGAGGGTGGTCAGCGCGGAGACAAGGGGAGGAGGAGG